GTACAACAATTTGTTCGATATGTAATTAACCTGCTTAGAATTTATTGTGTTGCTGTTTTGAATTGAAGACAGAGTCTGTAAATTTTTAAATCTGCTGTCTTGAATTTCCATTCAAATTATGAACACTGTGTCTTAACTTAATTCCTGCAAAAAAATATGGCCAAATTTACACTGGATACAGGCCCATTTGTATGTTTGTACAGTTGGCCATGAGGTACATAAGAATCTCACTTTGTAATCGTACAATGACGAAAGAGTAATAGTCCTACTGTCTGCAAAAGCATGCAAAGCTTTGAACCAAGGGGTAAGACATTAAATTTGACAAGAAGTCATTTCTAAGTGATAACTGAGATGAATTAGAGGAAGGATTGATGCAGCAAAAAGTATATACAACAGTTACGAGACTTTAAGATAATAACATGTCTGAGTTGTAAGACTGAATTGTAAGACAATAACAAGTTTGAGTTTAAGACATTGACCGTTCTGACTTTAAGACAATAACAAGTTTGAGTTGTAAGACTTAATTGTAAGACAAGAACAAGTCTGAGTAGTAAGACATTGACAGTTCTGACTTTAAGACAATAACAAGTCTGAGTTGTAAGACTGAATTGTAAGACAATAACAAGTTTGAGTTTAAGACATTGACCGTTCTGACTTTAAGACAATAACAAGTCTGAGTTGTAAGACTGAATTGTAAGACAATAGCAAGTTTGAGTTTAAGACATTGACCGTTCTGACTTTAAGACAATAACAAGTCTGAGTTGTAAGAATGAATTGTAAGACACTAACAAGTTTGAGTTTAAGACATTGACCGTTCTGACTTTAAGACAATAACAAGTCTGAGTTTTAAGACTGAATTGTAAGACAATAACAAGTCTGAGTAGTAAGACATTTACAGTTCTTACTTTAAGACAATAACAAGTCTGAGTAGTAAGACATTTACAGTTCTTACTTTAAGACAATAACAAGTCTGAGTAGTAAGACATTGACAGTTCTGACTTTAAGACAATAACAAGTCTGAGTAGTAAGACATTGACGGTTCTGACTTTAAGTCAATAACAAGTCTAAATAGTAACACATTGACAGTTTCCACTTTAAGACAGTAACAAGTCTGAGTTGTAAGACTGAATTGTAAGATAATAACAAGTCTGAGTAGTAAGACATTGACAGTTCTGACTTTAAGACAATAACAAGTCTGAGGAGTAAGACATCGACAGTTCTAACTTAAAGTCAATAGTAAGACATTGACAGTTCTGACCTTAAGTCAATAACAAGTCTAAATAGTAATACATTGACAGTTCTGACTTTAATACAATAACAAGTCTGAGTTGTAAGACTGACTTGTAAGACAATACCAAGTCTGAGTAGTAAGACTGAATCGTCAGACAATAACAAGTCTGAGTAGTAGGACATTGACAGTTCTGACTTTAATACAATAACAAGTCTGAGTTGTAAGACTGAATTGTAAGATAATAACAAGTCTGAGTAGTAAGACTTAATTGTAAGACAATAACAAGTCTGAATAGTAGGACATTGACAGTTCTGACTTTAATACAATAACAAGTCTGAGTTGTAAGACTGAATTGTAAGACAATAGTTTAAGACATTGACCGTTCTGACCTTAAGTCAATAACAAGTCTAAATAGTATTACTTTGACAGTTCTGACTTTAAGATAGTAACAAGTCTGAGTAGTGAGACTGAATTGTAAGACAATATGACTTTAAGACAATAACAAGTCTCAGTAGTAAGACATTGACGGTTCTGACTTTAAGTCAATAACAAGTCTAAATAGTATTACTTTGACAGTTCTGACTTTAAGATAGTAACAAGTCTGAGTAGTAAGCCTGAATTGTAAGACAATAACAAGTCTGTGTAGTAAGACTGAATTGTAAGACAATAACTAGTCTGAGTAGTAAGACATTGAGAGTTCTTACTTTAAGACAATAACAACAGTAACAAGTCTGAGTTGTAAGACTGACTTGTAAGACAATACCAAGTCTGAGTAGTAAGACTGAATTTTAAGACAATAACAAGTCTGAGTAGTAACACATTGACAGTTCTGACTTTAATACAATAACAAGTCTGAGTTGTAAGACTGAATTGTAAGCCAATAACAAGTCTGAGTAGTAAGACTGAATTTTAAGACAATAACAAGTCTGAGAAGTAAGACTTTGAAAGTTCTGACTTTACGACAATAACAAGTCTGAGTTGTAAGACTGACTTGTAAGACAATACCAAGTCTGAGTAGTAAGACTGAATTGTAAGACAATAACTAGTCTGAGTAGTAAGACATTGAGAGTTCTTACTTTAAGACAATAACAAGTCTGAGGAGTAAGACATCGACAGTTCTAACTTAAAGTCAATAGTAAGACATTGACCGTTCTGACTTTAAGACAATAACAAGTCTGAGAAGTAAGACATTGATAGTTCTGACTTTAAGACAATAGCAAAGCTGAGTAGTAAGACTGAATTGTAGGACAATAATAAGTCTGAGTAGTAAGACATTGAGAGTTCTTACTTTAAGACAATAACAACAGTAACAAGTCTGAGTTGTAAGACTGAATTGTAAGATAATAACAAGTCTGAGTAGTAACACATTGACAGTTCTGACTTTAATACAATAACAAGTCTGAGTTGTAAGACTGAATTGTAAGACAATAATAAGTCTGAGTAGTAAGACATTGAGAGTTCTTACTTTAAGACAATAACAACAGTAACAAGTCTGAGTTGTAAGACTGAATTGTAAGATAATAACAAGTCTGAGTAGTAACACATTGACAGTTCTGACTTTAATACAATAACAAGTCTGAGTTGTAAGACTGACTTGTAAGACAATACCAAGTCTGAGTAGTAAGACTGAATTTTAAGACAATAACAAGTCTGAGAAGTAAGACATTGATAGTTCCGACTTTAAGACAATAACAAATCTGAGTAGTAAGACTTAATGGTAAGACAATAACAAGTCTGAATAGTAGGACATTGACAGTTCTGACTTTAAGGCAATAACAAGTCTGAGTTGTAAGACTGAATTGTAAGCCAATAACAAGTCTGAGTAGTAAGACATTGACAATAGTCTGAGATTAGAACAGTAACAAGTCGAAGTTTAAGAATGTGACATGACTGAGTATCGTAAGACATTCACATGTTTGTATGTCTGAGTTGTAATTGATGTATAAACAATTAGAAACAATGAGTGTCCTTAATTACTTTCCTCCATAAGTTTACTCAACAGGAAGACACTGTCTTTATCAAAAAGGGATAAATCAATTATGCTTTTCTTTTTGATATATTTGATAATATTAGAAATATTTGCACAAAGTGACTTTTCAATATATAGTTTTTTCAAAACAACGATTTTTAAACCCACATTTGTGAATGTGATATTATCCTATATCCTCAGATTTAATTCCCTATTTCCTAGTGAACACAGTGGTTTTAGATATCTTGTTATCAGTATTGTCATTACGAATAGATTTCATATCTCGCTCTTATGTTTCTTTAGATATTAAAAGTATTTAATGACTCGTTCAAGGATGACCATTATACCTGTATATGAAATCCGTTGTGAAATATTTCCTTATCCAAAAATAATGATTACCAAGATTTGTAAAAAAACAAAAACAAAAACATTAATATTTCACCTTAACTTGCTTTAATTAAAATTGCAGATAAATTTTAGAATGAATATCACTTTAAATTCAAAACTGTACCTAAACAACACAATTTTTTGTGGATCGTACAATTAAATTTTTGCCTCTTAAGAAATTATATTGTGCAGAATCACAGAAGGATATTACAAATTTATTTGTATTTCAGTTTAGTAAAATTCATTTGAAAATTCAAAAGTAAAAACTTGCTACATCAGACTGTATTTCGAAATAATTAATGTAAGGAGGGAGGAATGGTCACAAAAATACCAGCTGGCATCATAGAATCCCCTCAAGCTATTTATCTTGAAGGCTGTGAAACACTGGGTCGTTACATTGGAGGGACTCGTTATACACATAGAAGTCCTAGGAGGGAACTTCGTCTTTTCGCCAATCACATGCCGGTACAAAAACACTATGGCACAGAATTAGCCAATCTGGAAATAAACAAATTTCTGTAAAAATATGAGCGCTTGGATGGGTTCCAGGAAATTAAACGGCAAAGTGATAATCATTAGTTTGTTTAATATCACAATTAGTGAAGATATGCGACCTCATGTCTCAGCGATGTCACATAGTTGGCAGATTGCGGCTCCTGTTTTACGATGTTGCTGGAGAAATCTGCCAGTGTTCCGATTTGTCAGTCTCCGCATTCTTGTTGACTGGCTACGGAGGCTGTTTATATCTCCTATCACCTAATAAATACACGGCTTAAAATCCTCCAAGGACTCCGTTTCATTTCCTTCCTTGACAAGGGAGAAGACCAACAAGGAAACCCCACACGACCTAGTGTGTGTGGCTGGTGGAATGAATTTTTCAAAGACCATTTAAGACTTTATCTGTAACATTCAAGCCAAGCTCCTTATGAGAAAAATACTAAGAGTATAAGCAGATTTCTGCTGTTTGCCAGTCTTACGCAGTCTTAGCTGGTTCACCGTGAACATCAATCCAAGCCCACAATCTCTTTAGCTTCTTTACGCTTTATCTTAATTTCGCCCTCTTCTACCAGCTGTTCCTTCTCTATACCATTCCATAATCTGCCCAAATGTGTGATTTCTCCCAAAATGTGCTTGACAGATCAGAAGTTTTAGTAGTTTTTCGCTCTTACTGAAATAAAGGTTTAGGAAGGGATCAGTTTCCTTCCTATCCCAAGAGAAAACTTCTAAGTCTTGTAAGTATATTGTGAAAATATTATCATCTTTAGACATAAACCCATTACATTAATGCTGGTTAAGAAATCAGCTTTTCTGTAAAGTTTCTCGGGCCTATATAAGTAGCATGCAGGAACTACTACGGGCTTGTTTCCTCAAAACTAAACAGGAGTAAAATTATGTTTTCTTCTTCTTCTACAGAGAAAAAGAGGATGATTTGGAACGAAGGTTCGAGCTGTTAAATCGGGAACTACGTGCTATGATGGCCATTGAAGGTTGGTATTGTCAATAGCGGTAAGGTGTAAAAAGTTATATGTGTGTTTGTAGTACGCGCGAGAACAGGAAATGGACACGGCTCAGTGAACACAGTATACTGTTCCAGGTTGTGGCTAATATTAGGTGAAAATCTCAAAACAGGACAATAACTATTCTTTTTGGTTACGGTTTTAAGTTTTGGAATAGTTTTTACCAGATTTTGTTTATAGGTGATTTTATACAACTTAATCTAATGTTGCTCATAAATATAACAAATTAGTCGAACTTATAGTTAAAGATATTATGAAAGTTTCCATGTTATGTTGACCAGGAAAGAGGAAATTTTCAGAGAGAGTAAAACGAAAGGGGTAAACAATGGTTTCAGAATATTCTACATCTGTTTATTTCTGTTGATAGTTTATCATAATTAGTAATTTAGCCCGCATATTAAAGGAAACAGTATTCAATGTTTTAAAATGTTATAAACTTTTTTTTCATATCTGCAGAATGCATGTTATATATATTCAATATCCCATGTGTTTGGGGCCTCTGAAAAGCCATGTTGTTAATTGTTGCGACCATCATCACCGATTTCCTGTTTTAGAAGTAAATAAGTACCTGTGAACATAAAATCCCTTATTTAATTAAAAAGTGATATGCATAGCTGATATTTTCTGTTGTTATATGTATTTATAATACAAAAAGAATACAAAGACAACCCCATAGTTTTGTGTAAAAACATTTCTAGGATAAAAAAAAAAAAAACAGTATTAATCATTATACCTCCCTCTCCCAGAGTTAAGTCAATCTAAATATTGATAGATTTACAAAAAATGTATTGTAGAATCCATTTTACAGAATATTACAAAAAAACAAACATTTTTTTGTATCAGTCGAATTATGAACTTTAAGCATCATTCAAACAGGCAAATAAGCACTGAAAGATATAATCATTTCATTGTTTAAAAGGAAATGTATTTGTTCAAACGGAATTTTCGTGAAATCTAATCAGAAGGGAAAGTAATATTTAAAAAGTTCCAGAAGAATTCTAACAAAAATTATGCGGTAGCCTGGTCTGTGGAAATGAACAATATAAAAATAGTGATTTGCATTTAATTATGTACCCAATATTGCCATTATTTTGTTTATGAAAACATCATTGTGCACCATATGTTCTGACTCTATAATAGCAGCATGTAAAATCACAGTCCTTTGCACAGATCGACCCCAACTCAATGTGAGATCTGTGTATATTTAAATATTTTATTAAAGAAATACAGCATATAATGTAGACTTATACATACTGAACTCGCTCGGGAATATCTCCATTCCTTTGAAGTTAGTCAAACAATATTGGTTATTTAAATATTCCGAGTATTGTCTTCTTTGAACTCTTTTTAGGGATAGGGAAAATATAATCCTCAGAACATATTATTTCATATGGATTGAAAGAATGGAAAAAAACACATATAATAATGAAGAAAAATTTGATTATTTCTTATTGAAGTAATTTTGAGCAGTGCAATAATAGAAGTACTCTTTTTTTAATTCACAACTAAATATTAAATCTCAATATAATCTGGCGTCTGATTTTTACTGTTATTAATCTTTTTAAATTTTAAATTGCTGTAGAAATGTGAGGTTGTGCATGATATGACGAACATAAATTGTAAGAAGCTTATGCTTATAATAATTAAAGATTGTTTTTCACAACTTTAATAACAAAAAAATGATACCTAACAACGCTCGAAAAATTGCCATTAACTGGTCAAGTCAATTTTACTTACAAATCAGTTTTTATTTTATTGCTCTAATAGCAAATCACTATAAACAGTTTCACTTTAAATATATCTATTATAAATATTTATTATAATTGATCACTAAAAAGTGTAAGAAATTTTCCTTTCTCTATCAAAATCCAGTTTTTATCAAGAAATGATGGATATATTTTGTATATAATTATTTCCAGATAAATACATTTAGTTGCCATTGTGATTTAATATGGATTTTATGAAATCAAAACATAATTACATAGACATAAAGTAGTATCATTTTGCAATGAGTTCTGCCCCGAACGGAGGTGTACAATTTGTAATTGATCCTCGTTCTCGGTCCGCCGAAAGCATATCAATCGGGAAGGTATCACAATTAAAGCACTGCAATGATAAACAGCCATGCAGATAAATTAATTGAAAAATGTCCAGTGTGTCCTGTTCCTTTTTAAAGACAAGAGAATTTTTACATGCAAATACCAAGGATTGTGACAATAAGATGATATTTACACTGAACACATCTGGTAAAAACAAACAGGATTGCTCTAACTTCCTGTAATTGGACGCTGGAACCATTCTTAATAAAGGTTCTAAGAAAATTTGTTTTCAAAGGTTTCTAATTATGACTGAACCCAGTCAAAATTCTATGTCTACCCAGTCATAAAAAAGATCTTCTCATCCTTTTATGTTGCAGAAAGAGTCAAATTATGTGTGCAGATAAATTGATAATGTAACAGACTTTTCTCTAATTTCCATGGATTATTTTAACCAATAAGCAATGTCTTTTAAGTGGTAGGAATCACCATTTTTAAAATGTAAGATATTAAAATTAATCCTTATAAAAGATGTACTAGTATATTAAAAGGTAGTGTTTTATGGTTTAAATACCTTACTACTGATTTCAATTATGTTTACATTTAAATATTGAAATGACCTGCATTTTAACTATTTTGTACCGTCATTTTGTTGATGAGATTTGGGTAGGTATGATAAAACAAATCTTGTCCAATACCATGTGTTAGTGTCTGTTGTTATTTACGTTCTCCCATCAGTAAACAATTAACACAGCTAACATTTCTGACTCTACCTGAAATTTTGCAAGTCAATGCTGAGCGACTTTCTGACAGAATTAGCCTTACCTGTACAAGTGTACATATAATGATGTTGTCATAAGTTCATTATACCTAGACAAGAGTGTCCACTAATCTCCGGACATTGAATGGTCAGTTTCATTTAGTTGGTCAATTACAGGCAGTTTGTTATTATAGGCCGAATTTTTCTTACCCGTGTTTTAGATAAATATTTTGTTGTTGTCTCATACCTGGCTATAATTAGATTGTAATTGGCCGGTCAGTGTTTACCTGTGCGGTGTTGACACTTGGGTGTCCAGGACTGCCCACTCGGGTTTGACCAGCAACATACAGGAATTGCAGTGGTTTCTCAGGACAATTGACTGGTCCTGTGTTTTGTTTCTGACACCTGTGTGACAAGCAATACTCCTCCACACAACAATACTCAATGCCCACCAAACAGTCAAAACATTATTTTTGTATTTCTCTGCTGGACGGAATTATTTTGTCATTTTCTCCTGGTCAGATTGGGCGGACAATACCTGTCTCTGGCCAGTCATTCATGAAGTGTTTTCATTCATTATTGTGCCGTTCTTGGTTCGCTTATATTTATGCTGCCTATTCAAACTTAATTGTCTCATTCTGAGGTCAAGGTTTTTCGCTGCATGCTCTATTGACATAACACTGTTTTAATTAATTGTTTTCAAAAAGCTGTTCAAATGTAAACATTGATTTAGGAAAAATAAAATCTGCGAAATAATGAAATATAGTTAAATTCATTGAAGGGAATGAAAAGATTATTGTTTTTTTCCGATGAATATTGTAAACATATTTTATTAAAAAAAAAAGAATCAATGCAATGACTTGTATTTTAATTAAAAAGAAATTATTATTTCCATAGTAATCTACCAGGTATGTTGATTTCTAAAATGAATTAAAGGGTTTCCATCTTTTACCGTCGTTTTAAAAGTTGTATCACTTACAATATTTTTAGATGTTTGTACAGTGAGTGTAATTTGTAAATGCATGCAATGTAGATATTACAACAGACAGGAAATTGTTAGAAATTTAATCATTAAACGTAGTTGTAGATACATCATCCCTCAAGTAAATTGGAAAGAGGTTGAGTTTCTTTTAATTCAAAACTCGGGAAAAGAAAACTGTCTTTTCATAATGCTAAATATGGTAATTGATAGCGGATGAAATGAGAAATGGATGGAGGAGTGAACGCCTGAATGGCTCCGATATTTACGACCTGTTTATGTAAGGGAGGACTGCTAATGATTGGTTGTAGCTGGTTTATAATTAACCTGAAATAACGATGCTCACCTGTGAACACCTGTGCTACCTGTTCAGGTTAATTTTCCACCGCCGGTCTAGCTCGGCTAGATAACAGGATTTCGAGTGTGGCAGATAATAATGGATCATGTCGAAAGTCTCCTGAGCCTCATTTAAATCTTCGTTACTCGCAACTCACTTACTCAACAACATTATCTGCTGAATGGTATTAGAAATACGAGGCTGTGGAATTAGAAAAGTTTCAAATATGACAAAATAATTATACAAAAAACCAAATGACTAATAATCGTAATTCAAAAAATTCTAAATTTGTTCTGCATTGATCAATTTCTAATCGTTTAAAAAAAAGTATTTTTTCAATTTTTAGAATTCAAAAAAAATGTGAAATGTCTGTGGGAGATTGTATTTACTTCGGTACTTGAAAAGCATGAACAAATAATAAGCACAAAACTGTCATGTGACTACATTTGATAGGTATCGTAAAAAAAATTAAAAAAACATGCAATGAAAAATAATACAAAATGACAGAACAAGAATCAGTCGTTGTTGATACAGACGTTCTGTTTGTTTTATAATTTGTCAGAAAAAATAAGAATAACAGTTTCTTTTCTATTTTATTATTCTTTTCATGAACAGACAAATATCATTAACTTGAGGATAAACACCAGTTACCAAGCGCTGCCAAGAAAAGGACAATACCTCAGCAATTATCCACAGATCCTTGTATTCAGTCATGATGAAACAATTATAGAACAAAGTGGAAACCAATGTCTTATGTACAGTGATGAGAGACAGAGGACTTGGGGAAACATATGGCTGTTTCCCCGGCTTTTGTTCGGCCGTATGTTTGGGTGGACAGACTGGCTGTCCGTCAGACTG